CGGTCCCTAAAAGTTCGAGTTAACGAGTTTTCACTGTATGTTCTTCATATAAAATAATTCTCTAGTTTGTGGGATGGGTTCTTGCACACATGATGATATACCTGGTTAAAGTGCATAATCTTTATAAAGGACTTCTTTTATTGTATATACATGTTTGGCATGCATACTTTCATTACAAAATACAGGGTGTTTCAAAAGGCATGCAAGCCTATATACAACTTATTTTTTTAGGAACTTGAATTGAGTATTGAGTGACAAATTTCTGAATGATGTGTTCAATGTTCAGCATTTACAGTTTATGTGAAAAATACAGGACCCACAATACCTAATGCCACAGCTAATGAGTATGTATTCCAGTTGAATATATAACACCACTTTTTATATAAATGGTTGCACGACTATTGAAACACCCTGTATATTGCTAAATAATGTGCTTAATATGCATAAGGTACAGTATACAATTTATATGGTATGGTCAAACCCACACAGCATGGTGACACCCCAGGGATGTCCCCAACTGGACAACTTGTCCCAAGGTCTTTATGGGATCTTCAGTCAGATGGTTTCCAACATCTTTAAAGGGATGTTTTCAGGACTTCTTAGAGATGTCTTTTAGACATTTCCATGCAAAGAATACCATACAAAACAACCCTTAAAAAATAAAGGGTTGTCCTATGACAGGAAATGAGTCTGTCTCAGAAAGACAGGCATCAAATATTCTGATATACTTGTCCCAAGGTGATATCTTTAGGATGTATTGGGTCATCCGGAAAGTTCTGCGGTTTTTTTTAATGACAAATCCAAGATAGCATTCTGAGAACGGTACAAACCTTTACTGAACAAGGTATGCGCCACTTTGTTCGATGACCTTTTGCCATCTCTCGGGTAGTTGGAAAATCCCCCTCTCGTAGAAGGTCCTGGGTTTGTTGGCGAAGATCGAACTGTGTCATCAGAAACAACACCTTGTCCATATACTGCACAAATTTTACGGGCTGTCTTGCATGCATTCTTGCCTTTCTTGAAATAAAAAAGCATTATATTGCGAAAATGTTGCTTTTGGTTCTTCATCTTCAGCCCAGCACAGAATCGAACCTACTACGCAATATGTTAACAGAATGGAAAACTATTGTAGAGGAAAATCCGGCTTTTCTTATCAGGCGAGAAATCAATGTCCTCTCTTGAAGCATCAACTCGAAATTCGAGCCGATGCGCGCGCGGGTTTGAAAAACCACAGAACTTTCCGGATGACCCAATACTTGTGCTATGTCGGAAGTGAACGGTTTTGTATTTTCACAGAAGTGACAGATGAAGTGCCAATTCTTAGCTTAGTTCCTGAAGTGATTTTTTTTTACTTTTGGGAGTAAGAGTACTGTTAATCCAAACATTAGAGAGCAGGCAGATCTTTAGACATTCACAAAGGATGACAACTCCAGTAACCAGGGCATGACAAATGATCATGTAGAAGGCCTGTTATTGTCTCCCCCATGGTGTCAAGTATATGTCAAAGAGGAGTGCATCAGTGCTGCAAGATTTATTTTCATTAAAAGAAAAGATAAGTTGCATCAAATCATTTAAACTTAAATTTTGTAAATTAGAACACTGTATCACCCTATGTATCCCACATAACAAAGTACAGTAGAACTCTGTTATAACAATGAAGAGTGCTAGGTACTGGCATAGAGCCAATAAGGTACGTTTTATCTCAGTTATAGTGTGAACCTCAATTATAACGAAGTCCATTCAAGGTCTCACTGACAAAACAGACAACGTTGAATTTATCATTCTTGACTGGAATTTCCATCATCGGAAGACTGAGTGAAAGATAAAGTTATGGCTCGCCATAACTTTATCTTTCCTGGAATCAGCATTCCTTAAGAGTCATGTGGGCAGTGCTTCAAAATGTGTCAAATTGGCACGCTTTGGCAACCATGAGTAAAAAATAGTGTTGTATTGGCACCAACAAAATTACTCATTGCCACAAATGGCAATGGCGTTTTCCAACATCATATTCCGTTTTTCCATGTCTTTTTCTGTTCTCCCTCATCCGACAAAGATAAATATAAGTATTGCCACAGTTCACTATAATTGGAGCTTGCAGAGTTGGAATTCCGCTACTGTCGCAACGTCCAGTCATCTGAAATCCCATTTCAAGCTCTCTGACAAGATTCCGCAAAACTATGGTTGGCGAGGTGGGGATATGAACGACGGTGGGAGGAAAATGGAGTTCAGAGGTTAGGAAGACAGCAAGCATGCATGTAGGATTGACTAGGTGGAGGATATTCGCATGGAAGTACGCGGGGAAAACGATTCCTGCAGCGCTGCTAACCTGCTCTTCGGGGGGATGTCTGAGCGCGCTCATGCTCTCAAGTCTCAACTCAACCATGTTTCCTCCTTCCAAAAAGCAACAAAAGATGGATCAATTCTTTATTAGAAAAAAACCAGGACCAGAACCAGGCAGTGAGCCTGATAGGCCTATGCTTGAAGACGGGTCAAGGGCAGTACAAAGCCCAATGCTAACATTAGGTGCTAGTTCCAACATCGACAGTGGCTTTGAGTATGACGACAAAGCATACTCAAAAGAAAATCTGGGGGTTGCAAATATTGGCAGGTATGGGAAGATACCTTCCCTAGGGTGGAAGAAACTCAGGTTCCAGGAATAAGCCTAAGCATAAATGACCTTGAAAGCATCTCAACTGTCCTGAGATGCAAAGTTTGCATAAATGTAGGAAGTAAAAGCTGGGTTGAAGTGGGTTGAGGTTATTGCAACAAAGAAGAAATATGCATTATCCAGAAACACAATGTCAGGGGAACACAAGAGATCACATGAAATCCTATCCCTACAAAAGGTGAGTTGGTACTATAGGTATAGGTTCAACACAACTGAAGTACTGTAAAACTACAAATTTGTCAAGTAATTCCCAAGAATTCAGAATACTGAGAAATATAGTGTCCTGTGGCAACCAGTTATCTGCCACCGTTGCCACTTTTGGCAACAGGCTGAGGAAAATTTTGGAAGCACTGCATGTGGGTGTGACTGGAGAAGGGTGAGGGAGGGAGAGTCCCCAGTAACTAAAAAGATCAAGATATCTTTGGCTGTCATTTGCATTTCTCGTCGATAACAAGGCCAATGAAAAAGCAAAAGAGGCAAGCCTTTGCAATTAAAAAGAAAGCATGCAATAATTCATTTGATAGAAAGTAGACAAAGTAAAGCTGATGTCTCTCATGAATATGGATTAGTTCATCTCCTAGTTCTTTTGTTTCCACAATTTAAAAAAATTGTGACAGCTTCATCCTTACTAAGGAGAAGAACATGCAACAAAACAAGAAACTTCATAGATTCTGCTCAAGATGACGTTATCAAATCCTTGCAAATGAGGTTCAAGGTACAAAGAATTGTGAACATCACAATTAGTAGGCCAATGCCTAAAGTGAAGCCAGTGCAGGATAACTGATTTTCAGAGTTGTATAGTAATGTCAATAAAGGCAAACTTGGTTATAACAAACCTCAGTTATAATGACGATTTCTCCCTGGTCCCTTCCATGACATTATAACAGAGTTTGACTATATCCCACAGTCATTTGCAGCATATAGAAATGTGCTTTCTGCTCCTAGTGGCACATTTGAACCTTCTGTATCACTTCCATGAATATCTCTGCAGATGATGCAATACGAACATTCCCACAGACCAAAGTAGGCCATCACAGCTTGACAAGTTGACAACACAGACAAAAATCTGAGCTACCAAACTCCCAAAGCAGGTCAACTCATTTCACCTGCCAGAGGACATGTATAATTCCCCATCAGCTGTGCTATTTTTCTTTGTTCTTGTCATTTATACAAAGGACTGGACTAAGTGCTATTAATGGCAGCAAGGGTTCTTATCTCCAACCCACGCTCTAATGCTTAGATGAACTATAACATGACTTCACATATGTTTCATACCTGATTTGGCCAAGTCTTTTATCAGGTGTAACATATATGCCCCATTATGTTCTAGATAGACATATTAAACAATACAAGTATCTTATATGCTCCTCCATATCTTCTACATATTGGGAGCTTTAAAAAAAAAGCTCTACCATTTTCTATGGAAGAAATACAGTTTCATGAATATAAAACAAATTTTTAAATTGGCTGTGATTGACAATGGATTATTACAAAGTTGTATATATGATATAATATAATGTATGATAGTCCATATATGTTTCGAATATCATATAAACCCATTCCGCATAAAATCATGAATGATTTTTATGTGTGGGTAACAGCCGCCAAAAAATTGAACATGGCTTCCAAGTATATCAACCTGAATAAATATTTTATATCATGGTTCTTCAATGTTTCTCTACGTCACAATAGGCACTGGCCGATAGGTATGAGATAACATTAGGCCATTGGTCCATGAAACCAAATGTGACCATTGGTACAGCCCTAGTAAAAAGATATCTGCATAATTGACAGGGTTTACACTAGCTTTTTTAATCTTGAGTCCTGGCACTTAGCTTTAGCTCAGAGGGAACATGTTCAGGTGGTTGCCAAAGATTCCCGCAGACATAGACATTCTGCAAGTATGAGTTCCTCAAGAAAATATGTGTCAGGGACATGCTACAGCGAGTTAATGTGAACCCTGATTCATAATATATAAAACAAAAAGGAATAATCAGGATTTCTAAGTTATGAAACTATTAGTTAAATTAAACATTTTCCTAGCTTGATAATACATTTTTTCCCCAATAAATTAGGATTCAAAGTTAGGTCAAGTACTTGGGCTGAATTGCACATTCAACCTATCAAAGAAGTTAAACAAAAATCCCATTTCAAGACATGCATATCCTAAAACTATTAGTAGTATCCTCCCAAGAGACTATGAGAACATACCAATCTGACACATTGTTGTTAATGAGATTCCTTCAGTAGTAAGCAGAAGTTAGTCTTACATTGATAAACACTTGCATCCTGGATATCTCGCACTGCTGCAGCCTCAACTATGTTCCTGATGACAAATTTCTTGATAGCCTTATCCTTAGGGACACATCTTGCACAGTTGGTGCATCGGATGGGGTTGACATGTCCACGTCCATGCTTGGAACGACCGTGATTCCTCCTCTTGGTTGTCTGAAACATTTATAAAAATTCACTAGATCTCAAATTCTTAGAATGGAAACCATCCAACGACTTCCCTAATTAATTTACAATGTACAATTACTGCAAGAGTCCAGTGGCTCTTATTCAGGACACCATATTGTCCTTTGCTCATTAAGTAAGGAATTAGAATGCTGCTCAATATTATGCCAGCTGAGATATTTCCTTGGATGTGAAAAATCAAGGGCCTATGATTTAAAATACACCCATTTTCCTGCACAGAATATTTAAAAAGTTAAAAAAATGTAAGCACATCTATTTATTGGATCATAATTGGATATTGGATTGGACGCATAAATCGAACCAACGGCGTGATAGCCGACCCTGCGGGTTCCTCAAAGTCGGGCCTGTGATCATGCTTCCTGGCCTCACTAAGCATCCACCACCCGGCGTGAAGGTCTAAGCAAGCCTCTATACGCGCACGCCGCTCGCCGTGTTGGCTTGCAGAGCCAGGAACGACCGATTTTGGACAGACTGCATATTCCCAGTATAATTGCCTGAGAGGTACCTCCAGGAGGGAGGTTCAAAGAGGGGACTAGCTGGATATTGCTTGACAGTCAAACTTGATTAGAATATCCATGGCCTTTGATATAGATCTCAGGCTGACCATGGAAAGACACATGTATGGTTAGAACAACCAGAGAAGTGGCGTTGTACATATGAATGCAGAATTCCCAACCTTAGGCCTGTGCTTCACTTGCCTATGCCTATGCCTAGGGATCGACTTTCAGAGACCCTCACAGCAATTCGGTCCAGAAAACCGACCCTCTAAAATATCTAATTCCAAGAACATAATGATGTAACCATTTCTTACAGCATACTCTTCAATTACCTTAGAACACTATATTTACGACCATCAACGCTTTGAGCCACCAGTAAGTACCAGAACATAATATATACCAGGGACATTCGTAACCATGATCTCAGCGTGCCTCACTTAAAGTAAGAATGATGTCATTTAAGGAGCTCATTTCTGGTTGACTATAAGGATTAACAATGGTGCATTCTTTGTGAGACATATTTTAAGCTTCGCTTAAAACATGGATTCGAAGACGAAGACACAGAGGGCAGTATGTCATTATAATGGCGAGGTCCGTGAAGTGAACCGGAATTCCGTCCAAATTTGTGCGCAGGTCGACTTTCGCGTACTTACGTTACTTGAGTTACCTTCATATGAAACTCCTGAGAGCAAAATAATGGGCACTTGTAACGTGATGAAAGCCATCACTTTGGAACATGCAACATCTTATATGCTTCATGACTTTTAGGCCTAACTTTCAATATCCTTTTTCACTTCAGAAAGCCAGCTCCGCCACAACTTGGAGGCTGAGCCCTCCTCTGTAAGATGTGTCATCAAGATCATCAACTGAAGAGACTCTGCTAATCCAGTGACTTCCAGCTAATCCCTTGTCAGGGCTGAGCCAGCTTGGCCAATAGACCGCCAATACCTTTACAAGTCCATACTTACATTCTGCCCTAACCTTCAGCTCCATGCTGAATAAGGATATAATAACACTATCTCCTTTGGTCTTCTTGCAACACTTTCTCATCCTTTTCCTTGTTAATTTATCAATTACTGACGGCTTTAGAGGAGTTAATGTCTCCCAGAATTACAGAGCTAGATTGGTTCCAATTTATTAGTGTTTTCCACTTGAGTCAGACAATTTTGAACTAGACTCAGACACTCGTGCATGAGGTATATCCCACGCACAGGTGTCAAAGTCAAGTGAAAAAACGTCTGACTCGAACGACTAACAGCACAGCTTAAACAGACATGGCAACTACACGCCTCTGCAGTAGCCTGTTCCCATTCTAGCAGAGACTTGGCCAAACACGAGTCAGCGCAAGGCCTAGGCCTATATGATTTACTTTCACGATGTACCAAGCATACCATTTTCGTGTGTCTCGATTTGTAGCAGCGGCTTATAAAGAAACTTTCTCGTAGTTGAGGGTACGTTTGCTAGACGACATACACGTACACTATGCTCCAACAGCCATCTTTACGGAAAGGAAGCAGTGATGCTATGACTTGAATCATGACGGAAGTTGAATCTCTGGATCTACGCGGTAAGCAGTGATATCATTATTGTACATCCAAAAGTTTTTTAGAGAGATGTCACTGAAGTATACAAGACTACCCATGCATGAGGCAATAATCACATTAAGGATGATCCCAGTGTTCTCCCTACTGTCATCATATCTCAGCTTGGAAGAACGCAAAATTGCTGGCCATATGAAAGCATCCGGCTTCTGAACTGGCTTCTGAATCCTTCAAGACATAAACAAAATGCTTAGTCGATTTTCACGATCGGAGTGGCTCTCTTGTAAGACATTCAGGAAGCATAACATTGTCAATCCCAAGCATTTCAGCGGGAATCATCTATCGTCATCCTTGGGTGCTTCTCATGCCTCAGGCTATGTTGCATTCGAACAATTGAACGAATCTGAGTGAATTTATGGAGGGAGCTATTGACGTGGTGGATAGATGGGTTGACATGGATCTGCAAATCCCGGTGAATCTGTAGACCAATTTGGCTGTAGAGAGTGGCCAATATGCCCTGGCTTCACAGCNTAGTGTTGGGGAGCCATCCAGCTGCCGACCCGGCATGGAGAATGATAATTCTCTTCCCACGACTTGGGGGATGGCTGAAGAGGCATTCCCTTGACCCGTCGCTCCAGCCTTTCCTCACAAGATCATGAGTATCGTACCTGAAAATTTGTTTAATAGAAAATTGCTTCACACTACATCTTCATATGAATTGCGTTAGTTATTCATTGATGAACCACAAATTCATTGAAACATGAAGGTAAATTACCAGGTTTCGTCCAAATAGATTGCAGTGTATCCGTCTTCTCGTAGGTGTACTATGATCCTCAAGAAGTGTCCCCTGTTGCATGAAGAAAACAACAGCAGCTTTTGAAGAGAGACTTCGATAAACAATGGGAAACTGCCAGTAGTCTATTCTGATACTCTGTACCCAATGATACTCCTTGATATGTGGTATCGTTGGCGAAATATAAACTAATTGGTTTGCGAGTGAAATAGGTCTGCATATGAAAAGTAGAATATCTACCCAGCATTATTTCTGCATATTGGTTCAAGAACACTGACCTGGCAGCTTGAACATGAGGTTTCAGCATCACCATCTCTTTCCGATCAAACTTTTTAAACTTGAAACCCAATTCCTGGCATAAAATATGTTGGAGAGATGTTCTTCCATATGGGAAATGAACATTTTCCCCATCCTCGTCCTCCTTCTTCTTGAGCCGTGCAAGTATGGAATCAAGAGTCGGGTATACCGTCTCTGCGTACATGGCATATACTTCCCGACGTATGACATCAATGTCGAAGGAATCCATAGCCGAAAACCGGATCCTCTTCGGTCCCCTCTTCTCCATCACCTTCGCTTGTTTCCTCTTCCGAACGTTAAAAACTGACGCCGGGCTGACCATCAAAATCCGCGCTGTGTCGTGAATTGTCCTCCCCTCTTTTTGCATATTCAGGATGGCCTCCTGTTCTTCAAGGGTCAAAGGTTTTCCCCTACTCCGACGCGTTGACATGATGTCGAAGGGAGTAAAGTGGGCTCAACCATTGTTACCCCAAGTATGGGAAGTAATACGTACTACAGTGACATCTCTCTAAAAAACTTTTGGATGTACTATACTCTATAAATAATGATACTTGTTACAGTATTTTTCACTTGAGTTTGACATTTTTTCACTTGACTTCGACAACGGTCGAACTACGACGACAACCTCGCAATCAATGCTCGTAGGCAGTCCCCCCCTAGCTTTCAATGTAAAAAGATGTAGAACAGCAATGCACCAGAACTCTTTATTTAATATTTAACCCAAACTATGAAATAACCTCCCCACATCTGTCCGCGATATGACTAATAAATCTCCCCTCCAGCCTCCAGCTTCTTAATCAACATTTCAATGAACTGTCCTGGCGCGTATAACCAGTGGCGTAACTAGGGGGGGGGGGGGGCAAGTGTGGCGGTCGCCCCAGGCGCCACAGTCCAGAGGGCGGCAAAATAGCCTTTCAATAAAAATTTATTTCAAAGAAGAAAAATTTCGGAAATTTTTTTCATTTTGCCGCCCACTGGCAAAATGCCCATTTTGGCGATTTTGGGATTTTTTCCCGTTTGCCGCCTTCAGTCCAGAGGGTGGCAAAACTAACGCAAATAGTATTTCTGGGGTAATTAAAAAAAATACAATTTTACTATTAATATACTGTATATCCGGTATGACGCATGCTGGTAGCTCGGTTAGTAGTGCTGGGGCTATATTCACTTCCTTTGCGAGCGAGTTATGACTGCTATTAAACGTCTAAACCACTCTGCTAGTAACATATGCTGAGAGACGCCAGTCACGAGTCACTTTACTCAGTCAAGTTCCAACACGAATCCTAACCCTTTTGTTAAATAAGGCGGGGTTAAAATCGATACATCCAGTACTCTAGAAACGGTTCATATCACAGGCTCACAGCTTGCAGCAGGGAACACCAGTGTGACGAAATCCAGGAATATTTATAACGTTCAGCCCGTCAAGCACTGATTCATTCAATCGTTCAAAAATGTGTGTTCATCAGCTAATTTGCGTTTTGTGCCCATCAATTTGGGTGCTTTGCTATTTGCCGCCCAGGCACCCATATAGTCAAAAATGAAGCGACAGAAAATTGGCTCCCAATTTATAAAATTGGCAGCGAAACGAGCAAAAGCTGTGGCGAGTTCCAAAGATTTTAAGGAAGCTTTTGTGAAAGCAGGGAAAGATGCTGCACCAGTTTCTGAAAATGAAGGTAATGAATCTGTTGTTCCAGAAAATTCAAACAATGAACTGGAACCCAGCAAACATACTAACATTCAATCAGCGTTGTATGAACGTTAATTTTGAACCTTCCCAGTGTTTGGTTGGCGTTGCAGCTAACATTAAGTCACTATTGCAATTTCGCTTATTGGAACACTCAGATGAACGTTGAAGTTCAACACTGGCTGAAC